TTAAGTGTAACATATAAATAAAAAACCAAATAGCATCTAAAATAAAACTTTTTAATTGGTAATGACAAGTAAACTGTAACATTATAGTTAACATGTTCTGTAATAAATTCAATTCTTACCATAATATTATAGGTTACGGTATAATTATTTGCATGCATAATGAATAGGAAGTGTCCGGGACAAGCGTACAGGAACTAATATATCTTTGACCTGTTGTATGTAGATGCTACAGGACTTTATCTATAAATAATTAGTGCAATGTAAACTGTCAGTTTTATGGTTATCGCACACGGCGTTTGATGGAAAGTTTAATCCCCAAAATATTAATAATTGAGGGTGGTAAGTACTGAACCTACTTCAAATTAATTTAAATAAGTAAAACTCTGACAAAAGAATACTGAGTTCAACAGGCATTTTTATCACCTAGGTTATTCTATTTCGAATCAAAATGTTTTCACGAACATACCCGGGTTTCGGGACTTCCAAGTTTAGTCGATATTGACGTTATTTAGTTTTTAAACTTCACTACATTCGTTATGTGGCTAATGCATACTTAGCTTACATAATTAAGTGTAGTTAATTTTTCGCGGGAACGATTTGACAAATTATCATGTTCCTTTTTCGAACGGAAAAAGGCAACTAAAAAAACCAAATGATTTTCCCCTCGGTTAAGAAAGACACATGCTAATTTCTTACCAGATGTAAAATAATCTGGTACAGAGTAGATTACAGGATTACTAAATTTCAAATGCCACCATTTTGTATTACACATTTTCGTAGTGTATTTCTCCGCTTTCTTCACAGATTAATTAATATCTATAAAGTTGCCTGTAACAAAATCTGAAACTACTTTTCACTAAAAATCTAATTCTGTTTAAAAAGGAATGAAACCCTCGCACGCTATTCTGCCTGGACTGGCTGGTTTAAAATAAAAATTAAAAAAATATTAAAGGAAAGTAATTTTTCGTTTAATTCGTTTTTAAGTTAAACAGTTTACACCTTGAATCTAAAATTAAGTTAACTGCCCCACTATCCTATATAGCAATAAATATAATCAGGTTAATTTCTTTAACTTTGAATGTAAGTAGAATAATAATTATATACGAGTTTTGAAGTTTGAACGGCCTGAATGTTAAAAGAATTATTATGCCCTCATAAATTTAATTACCCGCGGATGATTACGAAAATTACATTAAATCCTAACTTTAGTGTTGCCAATGACGTAAATGAATTTAAATTTGAATATAAAAGAAACATGATTACGCAAATGATGTTATACAGTTGCGTCTAAATATGATTCATAATAATTTTATATTAATATATAAATTTTGTGATGCAAAACCAAAATCGTTCAATGGTACCGTTGAACAAGAATATATCTTAATAAATCTAGATCAATAATAATTTATGTTTTGAAGCGTAAAATAGTAACAATAGCTTTGCTACCTAGAGTTTTGTGTGGACCTAGTAACCCACGGTTAAAGAATATTAAACATCATTTAATAAATTACGCTTTATGATACTGGTAGTAATTACTGCTGAAGTTATGTATAAAGAAACGGGGCATTTAGCTGACGCAATATCGCTTTGTTGTATTTCAATTTATCCTTTTGGAATAAAACTTTGGATACTTTCTAAATCGTTTTTATTAGCTACCGCAAAGTGTTGTAACTCAAATCGTTACAAACGAAAGATTTATATGAAAAAATTGCGACCATGAATGTATCCGTGTGTGGCGATGTCGATTAGTGGGGATTTTGGGCCTCCCTAGCAACTCGTAATTAATGCTCCATTATCTCACAGCTCGGTTCATAGATCTTACGATTTCCTCTGTTAGATTAACGGCCTTCTCGTCGTGAATATTATAAAATGCGGACGTGTCTATCGAAGACCTGAGGATCAAAAAAAATTGTTTGAATATTTTCTATAGTTTTTCAATATCGTGAGATAGATTGTAATGATAGTTACTATTATACAGTGACGTATAATAATTTTCGTGGTTACGTAAGGTATCAAGTGATTAATATTGCATTAGTGTACATGCAAGTAGCGTTTTTGAATAAGTTGTGGAATAAAAAAGCTTAGTGCACGTAGGCAAGTTGTCTTACCTGCATATTAATCAATTATGTAAACCTATTTGCAATAACTTGGTGTTTCATACAAACACAGTGGCTAGGGTAGAAGGTAAATGAAATAGACGCGGAAATTACTCATGCCCAATTAAGGGTTTCTTTTTTCTTTTGGTGATAATCCATTATCGGCCGAGAAACGTGGCTTGTCCTGTACTAGATGCAGCAATTCATTCTCAATACCCTTCCACTCCCTAACGTTGCAAAGCCATGATTTTTTCCTTTTACCAAACATTTTGGGACTTTAAACATTCACACATAGAAAGCTTTATTCACTAGTCTCAATAAATATTTTTTGGGACTTAATTTTTTTTTGTAGGATTTGTTCCTAGTTTTATACACGAGCCATAAGTTTATATTTTAATAACGCCCGCACCCAATAACCTATCTCAATCCATAGTCCGAGATCAGAGATAGTAATCTTAATCCAAATGTATCAGATTGAAAACAATCTGAGATTGTGGATTAATTATTGGGCTCGGGCGTAAGAGTATATTACAAACTAGCTACCACTGTCTTGTCATATCATACATGTCAGTCCTACTACTGGTTGGAGGCTGGGAACTGGATGGTTTGTGTATAATTTTGTGCTGAAAATTATTCTAGGACGTGACAATTGTAGCCAAAGGCGGTCAAACCTTCACAGCCTATAAAATTAAATTTTTCAGCCCATTGAACATTTGTTAATCCGCCACTGGAGCCGTTCAAGTATTACGTAAGCACCATGGGGGAGGGGGAGTTTTTTATTTTCTTATTTGGTGATTACATCAACAGTAATTATTTACTTTTTTAAACATATTACCCACACATTGCCTATGCTTGAAACGAAATGCATTTTCGAGGATTCCTACAAAAAATTAATACGTTTATGTGCTATTATTTTTGAGAGCTTTTCTTACTTTTGCTGAAAAGAGGAAGGGGGGGATAAATTGCAGTAAATCTGCCTTCGTAATACTTGAACGGCCCCACTGCATGAGATCGTCTGTCTCTGGGAGTGGTTATACATTGTTTGAATATGTTGCAAATCTCTATAAAGCAATAAATCTCTACTTTTAGTAATTAAATCCAGTGTAGAGCGCAATTAGTTGAAAATCAATTTAGTGGCGCACGTATTGTTGGGATGCAATTTGGCTCGGGGACAAAAACGCGTCTCGGCCCGCGGATGGTTCTAACAAACGACCCGACTGACGCTAATGATTCTATGAACGAATAGGGCTGCTGCGGAAATGAGGTTTTTTGTCTATTATTATTGAGCTAGACTTTGCTTTAGGCGTTTTAAAGGAGAAATTACTAAAACGGTGGAATTTGAGACGCGATATAATAGGGGGGGCTTACGGGACGCCCAAAAAAGACTGTCATCGCCAATTGACACCCATTTTTAGTGGGTGCGTTGCCGGCCTTTGAGGGAGGAGTAAACTGTAACTTTGAATAGTTGGAGGCCGTCATCGGGTCGATACCACAGTTCGCTAGTTCGCAAAAATATATAGAATGTTTATAAAGAAATCTTTTCGTTATCGAAATAAACTAGAGAATCGAAAAGCCTTATTGTATAACGATGTATTCTCATTTATTTTGGACCTAGCTTTTACTTTCGTAAAGTTGCTCACAGCATTAAAGAGGGTTGTTTTTAAATTGGCCCGGTAATTTTATACAAAAAAATAAACTAAAATTCTTTTCTAATCCATTAGTAAATGAAGATAAACTTTGAAAGCGGCAGTCGACATCCCTAACAGTTCTTGACTATAGGTACCTATATAATCCTATAACAACGTTCACTTGGTAATTTCTTAGAAATCTTTCTATTTTACTCTGTAGTGTTGTGTAATAAGTTTTTCTTATAGCTACTTAGAATGTCCTTAATATGAAATGGGAATTATAGTGTCATTACAATGAAACGAGAGAGCATCTCAATAATTTAATTTTGGAACCGGAAATTGAACAATTCTGGAAGATTGCGCTGTGGCTACCAATAACCACAGAGAAAGGATTTAAAATTTTACTTTTATTTCGATATCGTTGTGTTCTCTGGTTATTTGCTTATTAAATGTGACTTTGACATACCTAAGTATTGAGGAGCTTTAAAAAGTTTCTTTGAAACAATTTAGGTAATTTTTTTCACGGTCGTTTGTATATATCGCTCTCATTTAGTTAAGCAAAGTATGTTTGAGTAACATTTATTTATTTGAAAAGTAGAGAGCTCATTGGACCAAATGGAAGTCTAAGAATGTTTTCCATTGAAAAAGCTATCTGATGCATAATATTTGGATGAGATGTTCTAGAACAAACCTTGGCGTTAGAAGACTAAGGTGTATGGTTGTGTTAATTGTAATAGAACGTATAAATTAGAGAAGAAATGTTAGCTCCCATATATAGTTTAAAAGCGGCCCTAAATTATCCTAGAAAATATTGGAAGGGTTAGAAAATTTGCGAGGACCCTTGTCAGTAGCAAAAACTTGGCCGCCTTCTGTTCTAATATTAAACGTAGTTCGTAGGTTTTTGTGGGAGTAACGGAGCCGACGTGATCGCTTGACCCTTTCAAAAGAGGGTTTGGGGGCGTGAAGTCTTTTCAAAGTTTTAATGACGTGATTCGATATAGACACGATGATTTGTAGGTAGCTGTTGGCGTGTTATGTCTTTCGAGTGAATGTTTATATTTGTTTTCTGATAAAGGATGCGAGCTCTATGTAAAACATTTTCTTTAAGTAAATTATTAAAGCTAAAATGATCTGAATATTTAGTGTATAAACATACTTATATTATTTAATTCGTAAATAACCAATTATGGAATACAAAAAGGTTTAAACATTTACGAAACTTATTAAAGAAAGTATCAATGCAATAGATTGAATATTTATATAGCTTTTGAAGTATTTATTGGTCTACTGTAGCCAATATATTAGATATGTTATGTTTATGAATATGTATCGTATCAGAAATCTTATCATCAAATATTTCTTCTGAAACATTGAACACGAAGATGGCAATGGGTCGAATACAATAAACATTAATAAGTGGAAGCAGAGATGCCCCTAACGGCCAACCGGCAGCTAACCGCATGTTTTTGTGGTCACGTCTGCAGCCTCCAGGCGGGATATCTCCCCTCACCGATGACAAATGGCCCCACCCCTCTAATGCCCGGATCATTTTATACCAAGATATTGTACCATTGATTAGTAAATCGCTCTAATTACATATAAAAGTTAAAACACTGTATCATATTAACAGTGAATTAATTTTCAATGTTATTCTAGCTTTAATAAAAAATGGATTGATTTTGAGTGTCAGAAGATTTGGTCAAACTGCTAAGGTGTCCCTAGAGTCCATTTGATAACAAGATATAATAATAATAATAAAAAATGCGTGCGTACAAAGTATACATGTCAGAAGTGAAACTTCTTCGTTTTTCTTTTAAGTCTTGTTCATATTTATACAAGTCTAAAACTTTAGATTTCCGAGACTTAGAGGTAGGGAAAAGGAAGATATGTTAGGAATTTAATGAATTTAACTGTCATTAAGATATTAAGTTTTGAAATGTATAAAAAATTATAAATTTAACTTTTTTAATTTATTTCTTCGATAATAAAAACATGTGGCATTTTAATTTACAATTCGTCATTTGAGATTTCAATAAATTATTTTGCATAAAATATAAATACTAATATTTCATAAATTAACACTCTTTACGAAATTTTTATTTTAAAAATAGAATATCTATAAGGTAATTCGCCCTTCTCACTCTCTCTCAATCGGTCTCAATCGCTCTGTGCCTTTTCTTCGACAAAAACGCTGCACATCTTCGTAACGTTTTCGTAAAAATTTACCCTCATGAGCCTAAAGAAGTTTCACTTCAAAAATTTATTCGTGATAGAAATAAGATTGTTAGCGATAAAGCCACCCGTTGCGTAATTATGTACTTATGTAATCTGCTTTTTATATACATGTATATTTTTGTATAACGAAGTGTGAATAAATACATAAATAAATGATTGTGACAAAATTAATCTATCGCTAATAATAGTAAGATGAGTTATTAGTATATTTTCTTATAAATGATCTAATCATTATATTATGTACAGATTATTCGCATTAATTGTAGTTAATGCCTTAGGGTATTGAGTGAGGAGATTCTAAATAAAGATATATTCCTTACTCTACATGGCACCATCGCCTCGCGTCGCCGATTCATCATTATACGTTCACGGATCAGCAGCCTTTCAAACGGGTTTATCGCACCATTAGATTTAAATTGATAATTTCATTCATTAACTCACCCTATTCGGGCTCTAACTTTAATTAAATATGTAACTTGCAATTTCTTGTAAGAAAGCTTTATATCGTTGAGGCTTACAGCGGTAGATTAAAGTCAAATAAAAAAAAAATCAGTGGCGCTACAACTTCTTTAGGTCTTGGCCTCGGATTTCTGAATCTGTTTCATGATCATTTTTAAATCTGATAGGCAAGTAGGGGATCGGCCTCCAGTGCCTGACATACGCCGTCGAGTTTTTGGGTCTAAGACATGTCGGTTTCCTCACGATGTTTTCCTTCACCGTTCGAGCAAATGTTAAATGTGCACGTAGAAAGAAAGTCCATTGGTGCACAGCCGGGGTCGAACTTACGACCTCAGGTATGGGAGTCGCACGCTGAAGCCACTAGGCCAACACTGCTCAAAGTCAAATAATGTTAAATATTAATAAAACTGGCTACATATTGTTTGCTGAAAATTACCCGATCAATAAATGATAGGGCAGTGAAACTTTAAGCTTTCGTTTAGATCTGGTGAACGTCTTATGTAAAAAAGTCTTTGTTCCAAACTTAGATTAACATATTTTCATGGTTTATGTTTTGTTGTTCCCCTCAAATTAAAGAAGGTATATAATAATAATCGGATAATGGCGTGTTTAGATTTTGTAAGTGTAGGATATGTCAGTAATGAAAATGGTTTGATATGTATTGGTTATCATCAATTTATGCGGCATTCAGACATTTTGTGTAAAATAATTAAGCTACTTAAATATGCAACAAATCAAGTAGTGAATTTTATATTTATTTTTTATTATATTACTTTTATTAAATCAAAAATTAAGTTTACGAAATTTGATTCTTAAAAGGCCGGCAACGCACCCGCGAGCCCTCTGGCATTGAGAGTGTGCAAGGGCGGCGGTATCACTTAACCGTGAGCCTCCTGCCCGTTTGCCCCCGTTCAATATAAAAAAAATCTCAATTTATTGACTGTTAGGCGCTACGAAGTTCTCCGGGTAAGTGTATAGCGTATATTTAAATATTAACTAAATGGGTCGAGTAAGCTTCCTTACTATATATTAACTATTAATACGACTGTAATGTACTTCAAACGTAAGCAATTTGTTAGAATCTGAAAATTAAAAAAAAAACATTCTTTATATAACCGTTTTCTCGCTAGAATAAATTAAAGTGCTCAAAAGGCGTAGCTTAGCCCTTTAAAAAACAACGTATTAAAATCTCATTATGTCAAATTTAAATTACCAGCAAACAGCTTTTATGGAATCTATCCGATGTTGAAAATAATAATTTTCTACGCTGATTGAAGGTAACCGGTAGCAACACTGTAATACGAGCAACAAAATCCTTTAGACGAAGAGATAGTGATTTTTTATCGCAAGTAATGAGATTGAATCCTCGTTATGGTGTATTAAATCAAGTGCGCCTTTAATAGTAAATTCCTTGATACAGTCGTCCGTCCTTATAGAGATGTGGTTCCTTGCATACTTTGATAGACTTTATTAAAAAAAAAACGCTATTGAATGCTTTGGAAAATTGTAGTCCATAGACATTAAGAAAAAAAGATTATCCTCAATCTCTTTATACCTAAATCTAAGACAACCTCAATCTAAGACAGTCATTAAAATAATTTGTAAACTTTATATCACCTTAAATGCGCAGCGAACTCCTTTTGTAACATCCATTAGTTAGAAGTTAATAAATTAATAAGTTATTGGCTGTAGGAGATTGTTAGGACCATAGACATCAACAAAAGCACAGATTATAACCTCAATCTAAGGCAAAGTCATTAAAAATATATATTCGTAAACCTAATACCATCGTGAATGCGCTAGCGAACTCCTTTTGTAACATTCATTAGTTATAAGTTAATAAATTAAAAAAAAAATACGGCTGTTGAAGATTGTTAGGTCCATAGACATCAAGAAAAGCATAGAGTACAAATCTCAATTTGAGGCATTTTATTTATGTTCCTAATATAAAAAAGTCGTAAACGTTATACCATCGTGAATGCCATTAAACTGCTTTTGTAAAATACATTTCATATAAGGGATGTTAAGAAAGAGCCGAATTAATAGTCATCTCCTAGTTCAAGAGACTTGGAATGTCAGAGTCACCCAGTCGACCTCACGTCACACACCATTGATTTCAGTGAATAGCCATCCTATCTGCTTCCACTCACTTGATCTTGAGCTTTGTCTGATTGACGTCACGAGGAAATAATACACCTCTGGCGATCAAATTCAAAAGTGAATTCGTAACTAAATTTCCACTGTAATAAGCGAAATATTGCTAACTTAACTCGAAAGTAACTTTTTCTTTGTAATGAGTTATCATTAGGCGTCAAGTTGCACGTGCTGGTGCCATTACTGTCCGACACATGTTCGTTTTTTCAACGACATCCAAGACATCGATTGTTCCACGTTAGGACAGCTCACAGCTGTGATGAAATATTAGAAGCGTCTGACCGGCCGATTTATCGGTTACATGAGATGCGGTGAAACATTGCCGATGTTATAATGTGTTTTGGAAGAAATTGCTACCATGTGGATGTTTTTAACAAATTTTTGGATACTTTACGTTTATATATACATTAATGGTTCTTCTGAATATGTATTCATTGATGTTGATTATTCTAAATTTAAAAACGTGGTAATCGTAGGTGAATGATAAAATTAATCATTATAATTAAGATAATTTTATACTTTGAACGCTTTCATTTGTCAATTATTAGCTTGGAAGTCATGTATTTGATTCCTATCCAGGTTTGGAGAATACAATAATGCAAGTACCAGTATCAGTAATATATATATATATATAATCCATATATTACCAATTCTGGTGGTGGTACTAAAAAAACATTAAAAAATTCGTGGTGTAAAAAGTCATTTGAATATCTTTCAATCAAAAGCCAAATATTTTTAGTTTTAACGTCGTTTTAAACTACGATAATTTGCTAGATTAATCCATCATAAAATTTCGTGCTTATATCTATTTATAAATATTGGCATGTAATAATTACGTCAATGTGTATAATTTATAAGCCTTCACTTTGGCTGTGAAGTATCTAATATCGACATGATCGTGACCTTTGAATGGTTCAAACAGTTTCATAATAACAAAGCACTTAAATATTCGTTAATTTTTTTTCAAATGTACACATAGATAATACAAGTAAAACCCGTTTCAGATGATTAATTGATAATTAACGTGTATTATGCTGGATGGAGTGCTATGTTCTCTTCAGGAACCTCGTGTAGTGTTTAAAATTAGTGTTAAGGTGAACAAATACTTAATAAATTTAACACTTAAACTTCCTGTTTCTTCCACTTCGCAATTGATTCCACTGTTTCGAAAATTTTAGATTGTAAAAAAGTCTTGACAACCTAACATATAAAATTCTCACACACAATGTTCGTTACCATACTCCTCCGAAACGGCTCGACCGATTCTTATGAAATTTTTTATGCATATTCAGTAAGTCTGAGAATCGGCTACTATCTATATTTCAAATCCCTAAGTGATAAGGGGTGTCCACCCCAAAAACATTTTTTTTATTTTTTAGTCATTTTTTTTTGTTTTTATGATACAACATACAAAAATACATAAAACCCTTAATTTTAATCTACTCTCTACGATCAACCCCCTATTTTTATTGGTTAGTTAAGAACTTATAACTTGAACTCTGAGGTTTATATATAGAGAAAAGTCACAGAAAAACCTAAAAAGTTTTCATTCCAGAAAACCAAACAGTCTCTGCGGTAGCATAGCAAAATGTTCCATGTTCGTATGTAAAAAGGTGGACTAGGCGTTAAGGAGAAACGGAGTTCGCGGGGGCAGCTAGTTTTTCTATAACTATCAGTACTGCAACAGTTCATTATACCGTT